TTTTGTTTTGACTATATTCTACGCATTTATTTTACATATTTTGTCACTATTCCTACCCATCTATATTTTAGAATGTCTTACTAGTTTTGGAATCGACGAAGCCTCTTATTAGAGAATAATGCGACCTGATACGTCAGTATCAAGAATCCTATAACAAATCTGGTAAATTACTTACACTTACTTACTACTAACTTATTGAAAGCAAGATAACACTTCCACTGGAATAAATACAACAGTTGGACTCCGTGTTGTCCAAAATTAAAGCGATACAATTCAGGTGCCTTATCTCACACTTACTTTGTAAAGATATTACAAACTCCATCAAAGTCCAGTCTAGAAAGGCAGCTTATCAGAACAAGTTAGATAAGTATCTAAGTGTGAAACTTTAATTGCCGTCTTGAAGTTTAAAGTTTGAAGGTAAGGTATGCGCATTGGTTTAGGTGGTCGCAAACTATGACAAGTAGGTACGCCTCAGCACTCGCAGCGTGTTAAGATAGTTTGTGTGTAATTTTCACTTCATACTGACTTGAATCGCAGAATTTTATTAAATCGTGATAATAATGATACCCGTACTTTATTCATTATCGTTAATGACACGGACGGTACGTTGCGAGTGTAGGCTTAAGACTTAGGATCGTTTAGGTCGAAATTTTAAAAATCATTCTAAGAAAAAGAAGACTTGAAAATGTTACACATTTTACTATATTTTTATTACGTTTTAGTTTAATTGGATTAGAATCTAAAACAAAAACATAATAAATCTAAACTTTATATGTACAAGGTGTCTCAAAAGAAAGTTTATATTTATTTAGCTTACTGCGTGAACGCAACGAGTCCGAGGGGCGCGGGGGTTATGTCAATCGGTAGCCTGGCTCTTGGGAATTCAGTTGCTATGGAGCGTTTCTCGGGAGCAGACCGTACGTTGTGCGTGCGAGAGTTTTACAAAAACGGTGATTCGGCGACTGTAGCGCGTAGAAGGTTCTGTAGTATTCGAGGTTTTAGCCATTTAAATGATGCGTCAAGCATTCCTCTTATTCAAAAATGGGTCAATAAGTTTGAAGAGACCGGTACAACGCTGGAAAAACCAAAATCCGGGCGACCAAGGTCATCAAGAACGGTAGAAAACATGGAGAGTGTTAATCAGTCTGTTCGTGACGACCCGAACCTTTCAATTCGGAAGCGCGCAAGTGCTTTAAATGTGCATAGACCATCATTACACCGCATTTTGCACAAAGACCTAAAGCTGCACCCCTACAAAATTCAATTGGTGCAAGAATGAAAGCCCCAAGATGCCAGTCAGAGGCTTGACTTCGTAAATCAGGCGATTGAGCGCTTTTCAACGTTTACCAACATCTTGTTTTCGGATGAAGCTCATTTTCATGTTAATGGACACGTAAATAAGCAGAATTGCCTAAAGTGAAAGTATGGGCTGCGATGTCGGCGCGAGGAATTATCGGCCCTTACTTTTTTGAAGACGAAAGGGGGCGTGCAGTTACAGTGAATTCAGAGCGTTATGTGGAGATGTTAAACGACTTCTTGGCGCCTGAACTGCAAAACTTGCCTGGCCATAACTAAAGAACATGGTTCCAGCAGGACGGAGCAACGTCACACACGTCCAATACGTCTCTGCCACGAGTTCGTGAAATTTTCTCAGGAAAATTGATCTCCAGGAGAGGTGACATAAATTGGCCTCCAGGCAGTCCTCATGTAACCCCTATGGACTTTTTCCTATGGGGTTATCTTAAATCTAAAGTTTCCTCGAATAAACCGACTTCCCTGGCGCATTTGAAAGAAAATATCCGTCACGAAATGGCAGCCCTCACTTAGTCAACCTGCCGAGCCGTCATAAGTAATTTTACTGTTCGATTAAATGAGTGCCGCGAACGCGAGGGTCTACATTTGGAGGATACTATTTTTAAGAAATAAATGCCCAAATTGTGTACTTTAATAATTAATAAACATTTTTTTCGATACACTGCTTACTTTTTTTTTAATCGATCTACTAAATATAAACTTTCTTTTGAGACACCTTGTATTATGTTTTTGTAGTAGTATGTACGAGAGGGAGATATACATAGAGGATTTCTTTATAGATTAGAGGGGGCAGACGAGCAGACGGGTCACCTGATGAAACGTGACTATCGCTGCCGATGAACGTCTGCAACTCCAAGAGACACAAACGCGTTTCCGGCCTTTTAGGAAGGAGTACGCTCTTTTCTTGAAACTAAAAGGCAGTATCTTTTACTTTATGTAAAATACACTTTTAGCAAACTCATGACATTTCCAAATATTTTTACTACATATGTTATAAAACTATGTTAAAACATGCGTACCTAATTATCTATCTTTATGCCAAATTTTATTACTCAACTGATATTATTCCTAGAAAAAGTTAACATTTTGAGTTTAATATTTTTTTTAAATACGAAAATATTTTATTACATCTTAGCAATATGCGTTTCATTTCTGACTGTTTGAGTTAATTATTTTGTACACACAAGCAATAGTGATAAAAATAAGCAAATACAACATATTATGCCATGTTCAGACTACACGATGGCTGGAGCCTGTATGCCGTCTGTATGGACAGGCTGACTCAAAACTATGGTCCTTTCCTCAAAAGGCCTATCCAGACCCTATACTGTACTCGCACAGTTTTATTTAACTTTGTTTACGGACTTAAAAAAAAGACACCTCTGTGGTTTGTTTCGGCGTTTCTTCCCAAAGCGAGTCTTAGGAAATGCCGGCTCCTTCTAGCTATAAAGTCCGACTTGTAAAAATATCTGAAAAGATTTACTTACAGAGATAAATATCATTTATCAGTTGACGATCATTGTACGTCCGTTTTGTTTTGGTAACACGCATTAATGTTTTTCACCAAGTGCACGAATTTTGTTCTGGATGTTAACATACCAAAGCACATATCATCGGAAGCACCTTTGACGTTCATACATTTGTTTACGCGGTCCCACGTTTTCGTTTATACAATTTAATCATCAATCATCATCATTAACAGCGTTTACTAGTCCACAGATGAACATAAAGCCACTCCTTAGAATGGGGGTTTGGCCTACTATACCACGCTGACCTATACTACGCTGGCTTGGTATAGGGTTTGTCTTTCCTGGACCCCTCCTAAACTGGAAGCGCAAAGAGGGCACACCGTGTGGTTTTAGTCGGTTCGAGTCCGACACACCACCCCGCCGCAAACCCCGGTGGGGTGACGGTCCGAGGGGATTTCCACACCTTAAAAAAAAAAAAAAAGGGTTTGTCTTTCCAACATTTCTGCAATAATGTAAGGAATAAATAATACGGGACGGGTTGATATAGGGTTTGTTACAAGTTTTCCTAACATTGCAGTGCTGTTGTCCTGTGTAATTTGCTCCCTTAGTCGGCTCCTACGAAACCCACACATACATGTACATCCCGTACAGGGGTGGTGACCCTTTATATTCTTGATGCATCACCGCACGCAACTATACAATTAAATGACGACCAAATTTTAATTTAAAACACTTTTGAAGGTAATACTGTTATCATCTTCCTAAAATGTCAGACAGACTGACTTGTAGCATTTCAAATTCGAAAGGATCTTACTTTTTAAGAATTAACACTGCTTGTAACATTTCCTCATGTATTAATTTACAACAAACAAACGTGAGTACGGTATCTGTTTTAAAGTTAGCTACACTTACATCAAGCCTGTTAACCAAGAGGTACATATCAGGAATCTTGTCAGCCAAACCAATCGAACGGCGACAAATAATAATATACGGGGAAATAGCAAAAGAAAGTCCCCAGATTTATTAATAACCTACCCTCCGAATTGCGAGATATTCTAACGCCAATGAACTTTGAGCCTAAAGTGCTACCATTTCTTCTGAATCAAAATTAATGATATCTATTTTGTTTTTTTTATTTATCTGCTTCGCTTTTTTTATCTTAATAGTATTGTTTTATACTTTATTCAGTTCTTTTTAATGTAATTACTATTTGTATTTTTGGTATCGATCTAGACTAACGCTTAGCATTAATTATAAACCTTGGTGGCCTAGGGAATTTTATGTATATCAAATTTGTTTACACTTTGAATTAATAGTAAAAAAATATATATATATATATACATTAAAATTAAGACGAGATTTGATATCTTAAGCTTCAAGTAATATAAGATGAGTGATAATCTATCATCCATATTTTTATTCATCAATCTGCCACATTTTCGAAGTGAAGAAAGATAAATTTCGAAAAGTAATAACAATGCCAACATTAATAAGTTCATATCATTGGTATGACCACTTCTTTACCTTTGTATATAATTTCTTACTAAGATACGTAACATAGTAACCGGTAGCAAATTTAATTACAACGTTGTTTTTATTAGTAATAAGAAATTATAGGATTATTTGTTATTTGTGTAGATGTATATTCTTTTATGATACATTTCAGAAATATTTCAGCAAAGTTTATTATATCAATAATATGAAACAATATCCATTAATGACTAGAAATTGAATAACTTCAGCACATCATCTACCTAAACCGTTAGTCAGCCTCAAATTGGAATTTAGGTAAAATCTCAAAATTTTGATATACCTAACTAGGAAAGCCACTAGTAGCAGTGTAGAGGTAAAATGTGCTTCCATCTATCTATGTAATGCGTGTCATCATCAAAAAAGTTTTGATCTTTTACCATCAAATGAGTAGGCAATACGGACTACAGTAGGTAAAAATTGCAAGGTATTCTGTTAAACTATATAACTGTTTCCATTTCCATACAGCGTTAGTAAATGGTCAAAATGGTCATAATAAAGTATCTGCTTATTCTATTGGTGGTAACGATTCAACTTGTTAAAATTGCAAGCAAAACGAAAGCCCTAATTCAAAAACTGTTTTCGTAATGACTTCCGCATTAGTATTGTCAGACAATTAGATAGCTTCGTTATCGGTTGTGTGAACATTGAACCCATTTCTTTCCTTTAATAAAATGTTTGATATGATCAACTTACGTCAACTTCTATCCCAGGTATTCGGAATATTTTTAACGGAGGTACATCTCTTGGCGAGTACCGACAGAATTCACGATCACCGCGATACCACTTCACGGAGTAAAGAACCTCTTGTTCAAGGTCATAGAGACACTTCATCTCCACCCTCGAGCCTCGTTCTACGGCTTCTGGTACTATCACGTTGACGTTGCGGAGGCAAAGTGAACCTGTAAAAGATAATGTATGTTATAAACAATGCAATAGGAGGCATACGACTTAAGACGTAGACATATGATTTTGAATTTTTTAAAGGATAGTTCAGGCATAGAAGACCTTATGAAAGATAAAATTACAACTATTTATACACAGACACCCTCACGCTAAGCCAGAGGCTGGCTAAACACCAACATTTTACAAAATATACCACCATACATGTGTCACTGTGAGGAATCGTGAGTGGGATCATATTATATTTAAAAAGTAAGCCTACTGCCGCAAACCGAGAACTTTCAGAATGATAGATGGAACAATTGGGATCATATCTAATAGGAAAGGTAGGCAAGAGGAGAAAGAAGTGTTAAGTAAAGAGTATTAGCTTATGCCGATGAATTACGTAGTGTAAGCAATGGCTTGAAAGGGTCAGAGTCGCATATCTGTAACTTGAGTTAGCTACTGGCCAGAAGTTTGAACTCATTTGACCCTAATTTAGAAAAATACATAATAATTAATAAGCGATATAGTTTGAGAACAGCCATTTTTTAAACCGCCAAGCACTATTGATATCTAACAACTTAACTAAAATCTTCAAGAAATACATCAGTGTATCATTTACATCACTCACCACCATGTCAGTTAGCCCTAGATTAGACTAAACTTTACTATTCTGACCAGTGTTGACTAGACAAATCGTGCTAACCACACATTAATATTAAAGTTTAGTGAAACTTATTTACACTTAAAAGTGTTACGAATCAAATTAAATACTAAAAAAACCCTTCAAGTCTTGCTTGTTGTTTGACGACTTCAATATAATGATCTATTGAAGTCGTAGGAAACAAATCATATTAGCCCAAACTTTAAGGATTTACTTTACACTTACCGTCTGGCCCCATAATCTGATCAGATGATAGAAGCCAAATTATTACACATACAGTTTGATTTAGGAAAATACAACTAAGTTAAAAAAAAATACAAGTGAAGTTTACAATAAAGAGTGTTCAAAAAGTTAAGCTAAGCTGTGATAATGAGCAATACGGTTTAGTCCACGTTCAACCCCCAGAATATACGAATCTGCGTGATTTTCGTTTTCATCGCATTTATAGTTTGTTATTTCTTCCAAAGGCTCTTAGCCCAATAAAATCCAGCAACAGTATTTCTGTAGAACTTCGATATCGCCTAGTATTTGGGTTGTGAAGGTCTGATGGCAGTCGCTCCGCGTAAAAAGTCGAATTTGAGCCGTATCCTAACTTAAAGCTAAATCTAATCTCGTTAGGGAAAAAGGCCAATAATTTTTTTGAATATGGTTCTATAAGAATTATTAATTTCAACTAAAGAACGAGTTTCAAAAGTAAAGATCACTAACAAAAGATCATGTTTTTGAAGCATATTTATTTTATATTCAAAATAAATAGGAGGCATAATGGAACTTGTATAAATCTAAGCTAATTACGAAAGTAAGTCTTGTACCTTAATAATTATGTAAGTGACATACGAGTATAAGAAAAGTTTTTCTGCTCTGGAATGACAAGTTTCAAATGAATGTTGCTGCTCGAACCGACCGAGCTTAGGATACGACTTGAATAATGATAACGTAATTTCTCTTCAAAATATAAATTTATTTCTACGTCTTCAGAACTTAGGTATTTTAAAAGTTATATTAGATATAACAATGTTTTTTATAAAATTATTAGGCTCAGAAACTACGTTAAAGGCGCTCAGTATTTTATATTCCCAACATAACTTTTTGTGTTATACGTTTTTCAATCTTAAATTTAATATTAAAAAACGTATATCAACGTATTGCAACTTTTTAAACTCACACCACACATTTTTGAATACAAGTTTAAATAATATCAATGAATGAAAAAATAATATAAAATTATCAGTATAACAATGAAAATAGGTTTAAATTCATGTGTAAATGACATAGCTGTAGGTACTTTATCCAAATTCGATATGAAATGTTTACCAAACAAGCCATTTTTATTGAACATAATGGGCAAGTGTTAATAAACTATTTTTTTTTTTTTTTTTTTAAATAGTTATAGTGTTAAATGGCACTTTTGTATTTGAAACTAAATGAGCAACACGGTGAGATAAGCTGAGGTGAGTCAAAACTTTTGACCTTTTCACATCCACGTGAGTGATATAATATTTCAGGAGAAAATAATAGGCCAGACCGTGCACACGGCTCTCCACACGCTGGCAGAGTGCCCGGCGTGGGTTGAGCAGAGGCGAGACCTCGTGGCGGCCATCGGAGTGGGAGTTCTCTCGCTCGATAGCCTGATTGCGGCTATCGTGCGGAGCGAGAGTGCGTGGAACTCTGCCGTCTCCTTCTGCGAGCAAGTTATGCTCGCGAAGGAGACGGCGGAGCGGGATCAGGAGAGGTTTAGGACTCTCCCGGCCCGCCAGGCCCGGGAACGGGCCAGGTACCGCAGGCGACTCAGGCGCCGGAGGTCGCAGAACGACCTCCGTCCTCCATAAGCGCAGGCCTCTAGGCTTCTAGGGTATACCTGGTTCCCCGGCTATTAGTACCCGAGACGGCGTGCGGTTTTAGTCGGTTCGAGTCCGACATGCCACCGACAGGTGGTATCCGAGGGGATTTCCGCACGGAAAAAAAAAAAGAGGAGAAAATAATAATCATCAACAGCCTTTAATAGTCCACTGCTAAACATAAGCCTCTCCTTAGAAAGAAGGTTTTGGCCTACTATACCACGCTGGCCAGGTGGGTTGGTCCAGGGTCTGTGTCAAGTTTTTCTTCTCTTTGCAGTGATGTTGTTCTGCGTAGTTTGTTCCCTTAGTCGGCTCCTACGACACCCATGAATAGGGGTTTCTACATTCCGTATTCCTAATCCGTCACCACACGGATAGAATAATATTAATGATGAATTTTATTTAAATTTTATTCTTACAGTTACACTTAGCTTAAGCATATTACGTTATATACATTGGCAATAATAGAGCTTAAGTTGTAAAATGGTCTCAAATTCCGATCATTTACAGCGGACTCCTAAATTAGGTAAAGAATCTGAATCTTAGGAGGCGTGTAATTTCTGGATAGCACACTAGTTACAACTTTATAGATCTACTCAATAAGATACACAAAGCTACATTATGGAGAATATTAACGAACATAATGTGGTAAGCATGAAGGTATTACACATCCTATCTGTCTAGAGAGACCAATACTAAGCAGAACTTACACTATTTTCTAAAACACGGATAAATATTTAGATTGTATTTAAATATTAAGAAACACCAATGGAAATAGATATACTCATTTTTACAAATACCTATCTGCACTGAGTACTGACGTGTAAATAGTTCAATTGAATGTCCTGCCACCGCACCACAGAGATCTTTAAAGATGTTAAATTTTATTGAAATGTATTGTACATATGTGTAAAATTCTTAATTGTTTCAAAACTAGTTTCAAACAATTAAGAATTTTACAAACCTCGGTGAAATAGTAACAACCGAATATTAGCTACACAAAAGGGAATTGATTGATTAAATCTGATTCTGATGTTATCATTAGTTAGTAAATAAGTGATTGAGAATCCTTTATATATGACCAAGTATACTCGTACATAATATATACTGATGAGAATATATGCGTGACGTAATGATCGGTCATCTGGAAGGATTATATCAAGGATTAGACTGTGCGATCTGATGCGACAGCGTATTTGCTTTGTTCTCTGCGATGTATATATATATATTTATATAATTATTTATAAGATTAATGTGGCCTTCAGACGAAATAACTCGGACAACTTATTTTAAAAACGGTACATGAACAAAATAAAACCAATACCAGAAAAAAATATCTAATGACAACAAACTCAACAATAACTATATAAAAAGCATAAAAATTTCTTCTATCCAAACATATTTAATAGTTCTTTTTAGAAAGAGCTGCCTATTATAGGTGATGTAATCGATTAGTCCAAAAATTATAATTTTATAAAATTTACTTTTAAATTATTATTTTTAATTAATTATTATTTATTATTAGTATATTATTTTTATTTTATTAAACTTTGCTTAACAATGAAATCGACCTCCTTTAAATATCTATTATTAAACATTCTTCATTGATATTATATACTATTGGCTGAAGATTGCAGAAGGGTAATCATTGTTGAAAATATTATAACCAATGGATAGTTAATATGATAAATATATATCATTTCGTAACTAAGAATATACGAACGTGTAAATTCATATATTCAATCAGTATGAAAGAAGAAAATGTTTTGATTGCTGTGGAGGCTACGATTTTTAAGCCTTCTTTTATTCTCGGCTTTACTGACCTCAAATATACTTTGGCGGCTCATACCTATATCTGGTACTGTACCAAACAGCAACTGTAGCTGCAGTAAAATTACGCACTGACACTGCATTAAGTACCTTGGTATCTTGATCGATAGCACGTTGACGTGGAGTGAGCAAGTTAATTCGCTGGTCAAAGGAACAAGAAAATTAATATTCGTTTTTTAAAGTTTGAGAAACTCTGCTGAGTTATCTACTTTACGAATCGCCTATTTTGCTTTAGCTCACTCCATTTTAACATATGGTATTCCTGCCTGGGGTAGTGCTGGGAAGTGTCTAGTGTTACGACTGGAACGGGCTTAAATTATATTAATGAAAAAGGTTTTAGTATATCAATAGTAACTTACTGGTTACTATTGATATATTTAAACTTTTTTGAAATATTTAAGCACCTGCCAAAGACTCTAATTTGATCTTGGTTCTTGTACGCTTTTATGTGCTTCTACAATACAACCTATATAAAAAGGAAGATGTGTTTGAACATAGCAACAAGGATTTGCTTAATGGAGTGACGTCATTGCTATTTTTAATCACTGGTAAGCAAGAAGTGCAATGCAGCAACACAAACAACATCAACTATGAGGTGTTATATATGTGGCACTACATCTAAAGAATTTAACGATTTATCGAAAAGAAGAGAAGTCAATGTGGAATCTTTACAATTTGGCCGTTTGATTCTACATTTTTAGAAAACATATTGCATTTGTCATACAAATTGCCTCTCAAAAAGTGGCAATTAAGAACACAGATTGATAAAGATCAATATATCAATATCACACACAGATTGATAAAGATCAAATAGTCAAACAAACAGAAAAAGGAATTCAGGACAAAATTTAAAAGAAAAGAGATGAGACTAATTATCGGACTGTTCCTAAAACCAATTTTTGGAATTTCAATGATGTCAATATTAACAGACAATTTTTCTCGGACCATCAACTGTCTGCCTCAATAACTGGCATAGATGCAAACCTAATGTTTGGGTTCACCTTCACCCTTCACCCAAAATCACCTTGGAAGCCTTGTCGAGTGGACATAAAATTAACGTCAAAGCATTCGAAAAATATGCAAGGGAAATTGAAGATGTATATGTTCAGTTACATGAATGGCATCCGATGTCGGGGACTATTCATAAAGTTTTACGACGATAACGATATCGAAGAATATCGTTATATATAATATGAAGACATCGAAACCCTGTCACAAAGAAACACTGTATTTATTACCTGCCGAACCGACAACTAGTTGTTCATATTCAAAAACTGATAACTATGGATAATTTTCCGTTGAATGAAGTCAATGATAAAAAATTAAATTTCTTAATATTGATACCCGTAGGCCTCGTTAGAGACCAAAAATATTGTTGTGTAGCTTTTTGGGTCAAATACCCATAATACCCAACAATATGGGCGGCGTGGCAACCGCTTAAACCACTACGCCATCCGTGCAGCCAAATCGTGCGTTATTACGAGTATGTTCTGACTCAAAGGAACCGAACCCAAATTGAGCATTGACAGCAAGATCTGTACTTTATTATTTTTTACAAGGAGATACTGTT